GGGGGGGGTCGAGCGTTCAATCTATGTCTTGGTCTTGAGCTTTCTTACTTTACTTTACATTTCTCTTTCGCTTGTACCGGGGGTGTCGCGGGGAGACACAGGCGTCTGTCTACAGCAAGGCGAGTGGCCTGTAGGAGCGACATTCCGTGAGCTCTGAGTTTGTCTGCCACAGATTCTTTTGATCAGTCCGTTTGTGTCTCCTTATGTTTTCTTGAGCAATATTAATATCCACTGCCGGCCTGCTAAGCCAGTCGCAGTTTCACCCGAGCCCAGTTGGCCAACAACAACGTTTCGGGGTGACCCGGGTCGGCCTTCACGGCTAGCTTAACGCCTCAGTGACATAAAGTGGTCTGGAGCCGCTAACAAAATTTCGGTGTGCAACTTTTCCTCAAATTTTCTTTTTACTTGGTGACCCAATGTCACCCTGCGACAGCGACCATACCTCGGGCAACTGCTTAGACTGGCAGGCTAGACCGTGTGAGGGTAGCCGACGGGTCCTAGACTCTCGGTGATTTTTCTTAAGGGTTTGCCTACCCTAGAATGTGAAGACTGGTTTGCCGGCGGATGAAGCGGATGAGATCAACGGAAGATCCAATGGTTTTGAAGGCGGTACCAGCAAGTGCTGTGGAGCGCATAAGGGCATGCCAAGGCACTAAAGAAGTTCTGGCCATCCACTGCAGCCTGGCAGTCTCCAGGCGTAACGGTCTCCGTGCCACTGGGTAAAGGCTTCCTATGCCAAGAGAGTGGGACTGCCACCGTGCAACGACAGCTCCACTTTAAATAAAGTCACGCACAGATTCATCCTACAGCTCATCGCTATTTTCATCTTCATCTTCATTACTCACATTATCATTCCAAAGCCTTGCGGCGATAGGCAAGGGGCGAAAGTAACAGGGGCAGGTGAGCCCTGGTAGTTATAGTTACAAACCTGCACGCAGGCGGCCATTGGGCAAGTGGACGTCTGACTCCTGACCGTGGCAGTAGGATCAAAGATAGTACAAGTATCTTTGGTAGGATCTCTCGGCAGCACTCAGTGGCGACTGGGCAGCCTCTTACGGACTGCACTGCTCACCCTCAATGAGGGAGGGGTCTAGAAAAGGTGACCCAAATAAATGCCTGACACTCAAAGTCTGGTCAGTTTACCGCGACTGACAAACTCACCCATTTTGCGGTAGAAAACAACAAAATAGCAAAAGAAAGATAATCCTTGAGTCAGAACTCTCCTCAATAGAGATAAGACCAACAGACCTGAAAGAAGAACCGCCCTAGTGGCGAGAGAACTCCAACGCTACAACATTGACATCGCTGCACTTAGTGAGACGCGTCTTCCAGATGAAGGCTCATTAAAAGAAGAAGGAGGCGGCTACACCTGTTTTTGGAAAGAAAAACCACAGACAGGGGCATGAATTCACGGAGTTGGCCTCGCCATCAGATCAGCTCTCTTGAAGAGCCTTTCTGCTCTTCCAAAGCCCAACCGAGATGAGTCTGCCAAGTCATCCGCATGGAAGACCACCGATTGCCAAAACAGCTGCTATACGGCGAACTCGCAAGTGGCAAAAGAAAGCTCAGGAGGCCAAAAAAGCGGTTCAAAGACACGATAAAGGAAACTTCAAATTTGCACAGGTAACCCCCCAAAGAACTCGAAAGAACTGCCTCGGAAAGGAACGCCTGGCGCAGGGCCGTCCGTCTTGCCAGCAGAAACAGCGATACAAACTACAGGGAGAAGCTGACTATCAGAAGAGAGAGAGGAGACATAAGCCAACCTCCACAACCATGACATTCCAGTGTCTCCACTGCAACAGACCTTGTTCATACAGGATCGGATTGCACAGCCACATGCACATACATAGATAAGCTGCAAGGTTCATCGTCATCTTCGGCAACGAAGGACTACCTACAGTACAATGTCACCCATACTTTGCACAGCAGTTTTTTGTGACAAAACGTGTTACAAGATTCCTTCTTTGTACTCGATCTAAAGGTTCTCAAAACAGTTTTCTTTTTCTTTTTTTATTGGTAAGTGTTTTACGGCGCTTGCAACTGCATAAGGTCATATGAGAGCACGGGACACACCTAGTATTTTCAGTTGGTAGGAAATTTTGAATCAAGACTAGTATATTCCATTAAGGAACTTTCTAGAATACTGCTGACAGGCGATTACAAAAATATCCATCTGTTATGATAAATTGATACAATTCATTGTGCAAAAGCTAGAGACTTAATGTTGGATAGCTGAAGAAAATAAATGTAAATATTTAACAATAAAATGCGCCACTAATTGTTGACCGCACTAGATCTATAGGTATCCTCACTGTTTTGGGACATGGATTTTAATTATTCTTATTTTAATAATAAGTGATTTAACCCAAAAGGTTATTAATACATGTAGTACAATTTAACCTTTTTGCTTCCCGCCACGCCACCCAAAATGATTCTTTGACGTCACGTTGGCGCGGTGGTCTTTTACGCACCATACTCGTTTTTGGCCCGCGATATTTCACAACGCTTTTCACTTTCAAACTTTCAAAAAGTATTCTGACCATCGCAAGGAAGACTTACTCTTTATGGCACAAAAGAAAATCATAACGCTTTGAATGGAGTCACTATGTCGGTTGAAGATAAAACACAACTGTTAGATTTGCTAAAGGGGGCTCTCATGGCATAGAGGGTTAAGGTGTTGGCCTCTCGTTCAAAGGTAGCGGGTTCGAATTCGAGCGGGGACCAAAAACATTTTTTCTCTAAAATTGTCTCCTTTCACCTCCTTTCCTGTTCCCTAGCAAAGTCCTGTCGTCTGCTATCGTCTCTTCTGTCTGCCCCCACACCCTCACCTTTGCCCCCTCCTCTGGGCTTCTGACTCTTTCTGCAGCCTTTCTACTGCTACTCCTTGGCTCCTTCTTACTGCTGTCTTTCAGCCACACAGCTGATCTTCTGGTAGTATAGATCTACACCTAGAGTTCTCGGACAAGGGCGAAAAATCTAGGATGTACCGTCTGCAAGTTGCGCACGTTAAAGATCCCTTGATGGTCCAAAATCGAAGAGAGGAGGCTTCAGCCGCCACCCGGGCAAAATTCAAAATTTCCTACCAACTAAAAATGTTTAATGTGTCCCTCGCGCTCATTTGCCATTATGTAATTGTGTGCGCCGTAAAACACTTAGGGAAAAAAAGGTAAGTGCAGAATTTTTAAAACTCCTTCAAGGATTTCCTATTCTGAAAATGTTAGTTTTGCAGATATATTCCAACGGGCAATTCATTGTTTCTTTTTGTTTTGAAAAAAAACTGAGGAAAGTTTTTTAAAGTAAGAAGGTTCTGAAAGAGGAGCGGAAATTTAGATGGTTTTAGAAGTGTAGGCCCTATAAACCAACCTTGCTGTTCAATAGATGAAGGTATTGACTCAGGACTTAACATACGACACAATGCTACACGCAGCACAGTGGTTGAGTTTTATAATGGAATAAACATCAACACGTATTTATTGGCTTTTATTTTCTCTAAAAAAACGAAACTTGAATCTGCTTATGCTATCTTGAGTGAAAGAAACGACTGTAATTAGTTCTACATGTATATTATGACGTACAAACAATTAAAATATTACGCTCCTCATTGGCCGCGAAGATTTAAAGGAAATTGTTTTCCTCCTAGACTAGAGAGATTTAGACTTCTCTGTGAATTGCCTGATTTAGTAGGTTTGAAAGTGGAAGTGTCAATTGGACAAGTGAAGGTGCCCAAGAGGGGCCAAGGAAGATGGCTCTTTTTCTTCAAAATCTTGACTTGCCATATATTGCTGGTGACCATTCCAAAGGAAAAAAAAACATTCTTGTACCCTGCGTAGAGTCTTTGGGTTGCCACCTTGATTACCTCTGAACCAGATTATAATAATCAGTACTGAAGGCTTCACTGTTAACTCAGTGACGCCCTCTGTTCATCATTTTTTTCTGCACCCCTTTCTTCTCTCTTTCACTACTTTTTGCAGAATGGTCTTTTCAAAACCGAACTTGTAATGAGCAAATACCATTCCCAATTCCTTTTCATTGCCGTGGTTTGGAGATCTTCATGGGGCTTTTTGTTGATTGGTCAGGGAGGAGGTATGTCAAATAGAACAAAGATGTCAGGATGATGCAGGAAAAACAGGACTGACAAACCCACAGAATTGTTTAAAGTTACACAGAAAAACAATAACTGTTGATTTTAATAGTAAAAGAAAAGCACTGGCTAATTGTGTCAAAGTAGAAATACATTCAGGAATCTAACTCAAGCGTGCAATAGCAAAGAGCTTGACCACTACACCACCAAAGATCGTACACAACACGATAGTTCACTCAGCTAAAAAAGTGTCCACGAAAGTCCGCGCATTGGTACAGATGGCGCTGCAGTCTGTGTTTTGAAGCTCTCTTTCGTTTCTAAAGAAGAAAAATAGGAATAGCAAAGTTTGCTAGTTTCGATGTTATTATTTTTCACACAAATAGGGTGACTCTGTCCTCACTTTTCCGAAGAGGGCGTCACCAAATTTTGAGGACACTTTTTTAAAGTGACGACAGCTTATGACGAATATACGAACGCGACAGGCAAATTTCGTTGGACGCACAATGCGAAAAGAAGTATTAGAGAATATTGTAACATCAGGCAAGTGTGATGGAAAGAGAGGCAGATGCAGACGGAGGGAAAAGATGCTGGACCAGTTGACA